ACCTCACTTCGTTTTCTCTGGTGCCTGTGGTGCTCTGCAACCAGCTCCTGAATTTTGGACTTTTGCCGCGCCCATCTTGGCACATACCCCACTCACAATAGCCGTGCCTATCGCATTTCAATAGCGGGATTCCTGCACGCCTTGCTCGCCTTCTCCCGGTGTCTGGAATGTTTGCGAACCCTTTTCCAGCTCTGTCTTCTAAGCCGGTGACCACGCGCTTACCCCAGTCCACTTTTTTTTCCAGTCTTCTGAAGTGATCTGGAACCGTTTCAGGAATTTTTGCATTCAACCCGACCACCTCGCTGCACGCCCTTACAACGGATATGTCTCGCGCTACAACGCTGACCCCTACTGACCGCAATTCATTTACCCGGGGTATCTGAAGTCCAGAGAGCTGAACTACAACTTTCTGAAATGAATGTTTGAGGGAACCTCCAGCACACTGCGGTTGTCACTAGACAAACATATATTCTTGACTCTCTGCAGATTTGTCAGATATTTTGTCTTGCCCAAAACTTTTTTGCGATCTCTAAACTCTCTCTGGAACCGTGTGACTGAATTCCCATTCAAGGTGTGCCTTCTCCATTTGGCCCAGTAACCTTACCCCACTTTTTCCCCATCTCAGGGCTGCTCTGTAGCAGAATTATAAATTTTTTAGTGAGATCGGAAGCATCGCCCTTCTCGATTACGCCCCTTCCATTTTCCATATGTCTTCTCCATTTGATCAGTTAACCCCGTGCTAACCATTTTCCACTTTTTCTCTCTGGATACCGCTAGCTTTTGGCGCATGCGCCGCCCGCTGTGGGCGGAGCTTACTTGGGTTACGTGTACTTTTTAAATATTGCCCATGCCCTACCATACCAACCGTGTTCCCAACTCTCCAAGTTGTTCTCAGGTAGAACCGAATTTCCGGGCAAAACGAACAAAGAACAAAGTACGCATAACGAGTGATGTTCGCTTGATCCAGCAAGCTACCATTTTCAAAATATCTCTTCGACGATAACACCCCAAGGTTCTGCAGTTGGAGTCTCCCTTGTATTAAAGGCAGTTGGCACGATAAATCCCCAAGACGACTAGGATCAATACTCCTGGCAGGATAGAATTCCGCGACCCTGGGCAGGCGCTGCATAGCGGTTTCCCCGAGGAAGGTGCCCTTATAAGGGCCCTATCAAGCCACAACTTTACGTCCCAAACGCCCGCCACGCCCGCCCGCCCACAAATGGACGACCGTTCCTGACGCTCGTATTCATTCATTTGCTAAGCAAATTATGAAAGCGAGAGGGAATTGGTATGAGAGCGGTTCGTGATGCCACTGCATACATATATGAGTACACATATGCAGCGTATCTTCGGTAGCGGTGATTGGCAAGATGCTTACGGGAAACTCGTCCGAAATCGATTTTCAAGTCACTGAGAACGGAGGCTTTTTCTTCGCAGGATTTGACCGTTTCACTCCGTTCTTTCGCCATTTCCCCACTATACAGCGCCCTACTAGCATTTTAGGCTAAGTAGGAAATCATCGTGCCAACTGCCTTTAAGTACAACTGCACACCGGCAAAACAACTGATCATTTCCTAACCCATATTGAATGTCTTGAAAAAGAAACAAAAGCAAGAGCTTGTAAAGACTCGGGTCTTCGTCCTTATTCTTACTAACCAACTTACCTATTCACTAGGCTACCCAGTAATTCTCCCTGTTTTCCTGCACAAAGGTAGATGTGAGGGGCACCGTAGTAAGAAGAAAATTTCCCCAACTTACTTCACAGGATTGTTCCGCAAATTCGAAACAAGAGGTGAGCTCAAATCCTCGAGCTTCGTCCACCAGTATACACTACACTGTAAACTGCAGGACTGAACAATTGACCTTTCCTGATTGGTATTCTTGGGATCCACAGTCTATCTTTAGAGTTCTGCTCATTATGGCAGCTTTTTCGTCAAGTTGGCAGAGCTCCGCAACAAGCTATGTGATGTGACTCTGATTGCCGAGGTAATTCTCAGATCAGTTGGACGATCTCACGCACAGTATGGGCAACAGAAACATTTCAGGGAACACGAATTGATGCTCATCGACTCGTCCTGACCGCCTGGTCGGATTATTTCAAAACCATGTTCACAAATGACACGGCTGAAATCCGCATGCGTTTGTTTACAATTCGTTTTTTTTGTCATCGCATTGAATTTTCGCCATGTCAACGAACACTTGCAACCTTCATAGGTTTTGCAGAACTTCTAGGGTTTTTTTTGCAGAGGAAGTCGAAATGGTGGGAGTGGAAGCCACAGCGCTTGTTGCACTTGTGGATTTCTGCTATTCCGGCAAGATAAAGATCAGAGACATCGATGTGCAGAGCATTTTGACCGCGGCTTGCCTGCTCCAAATGAAGGAAGTTCAGGTTGGACTATTACTAATGAAATGCCTAGCGTACAAATCTTCAACATTCCCTTCTTTTCTCTTTTGCAGGCGCTTTGCTGTAAACTTCTTGAAGAGACTTTGAAACTGACAAATTGCTTGAAAATACGAGCAATGGCCGAAGCTCACGCATGTGGAGGGCTTCTTCGCCGCGCGAACAAATATATCTTGCGTAACTTCCGGGTGACTTTTTTGTAATTCTACGCTTGAAAGCCATGGGCACTGTTGCTGAGAGAGAGCGGTCATCTAAAATGTCTATGGTGGAAGGGCTGGGTGGGAGAGTGGGCAAATCCTTTCCAGCAGAATTTTCAAAACTGACGCTAAGAACAACTGGTCGCCTCAGCAATTATGCCTGCTGCTTTTTGGGCGAATATCCTTCATGCTGCTTTTTTAGCATATTGTTGGCACTGAGAAGTTTCATCAGCTTTCTGTTGATGAGCTGATTGAATTCATTTCGAGTGATGAGCTGTACGTTCGTGCGGAAGAACAGGTATGTAAACCTATTCTTGGAAATGGGACAGTGTTTGTCCCTTGCCCTTCCTCCTCCCAATCCGCCGTTATTTGCTTACATTTTCAACGAACATTATCTCAGGTTTTCGATGCTGTGATTCAATGGATTAGGTTCGATCTGCCAGCAAGAAAGGAACTCCTGTCAAAGGTGAAGCTTATAGCATGTTGGCTCATAATTTTTGGAACCCTTTGCTTTCATTGATTTTGTAGTTTTTGAAGCGAATATCAAAATTTCGAGACATGCCTCTGTATCTCATCATCTTCATCATCATCATCTCTTCTTCTCCCCAGCGTTCAATCCCGCTCCTTTTCGGGGTCCGCTGTTCTTGTTAACAGTCGCCATCTTCTCCTATCCAGGGCGTCCTCTGCCGTAGCCTTCACTTCACTGAGGTCTTCCTTGATCACTCCACCTTTTCTTCGGGACTCCTCGAGGTCGCCTGCTTCGTGCTCCGAAGTCCTGTGCCTTCCCTTATGGGATGTTCTTCGAGCCTTCTCAGTACGTGTCCATACCACCGCAGCCACTGCTCTTGTGCCTTTAGCCCTTTAGCCTGGGTTTGCGCAGCTCTTTGCCCCTGGGACACGCCTCTGACGTCTCTTCATTTCTAACTCTGTCTAGTCGTGTCCAGCCGCAGCTCCATCTCAGCATTTTCATTTCAGTGTGTGGAGCTGCCTTCATGGTTCCTAAATATAGGCCAGCACTCGCACCCGTTAGCAGCATCGTGGCCCTCTCACGTGCCTGGTAGACCCTTGCCTCGAGGTCCTGGAGCATCGCCGCGGTCCGCAGAGGATGCCAAGCAGGACTTCCTCCACTGTATGCCAAACCGCCACTTACTTTCGACTTTCCACTATCTGGCTCCAGGCTACCATCACTGCGGCCAGATACGCTTCTACGGTAACGGAACTTTTCCACCCTAGCTCTCATGCATTTTCCTAAATGGGCTCGTCTGCACTATTCGGAGCCTCAGGTCGCTTGGTTAACCTTGATGTTTGAGGCCGGTTGGCCATCCCTTGGCATTAGCCTCTGCCTTTTTCGTACCTTTCGCCGGCAGCGTTCTAGATGCTCTCCGCATATCAGGCAAGTGTCCATACGGCGCTAGGAGGATTGTCATTGAGGCGGCCCCAATGAGTTCCTTCTTCGCCATGACATTCAGGGTTAGTGGGAAAAAGCGGCAGAGGAGGTCGTTCAAGCTTGGAGGAGGAAGGGGCGTTCAGAGCCTGACTCTCGGTGTGCGAACCCTCAGAATCAACCTCCTCTGTAGGCGCTTCGCTGCCGTCATAGCGCCGTTGCACCTTCGTACATGTCCTGACATTAGGAGATGAGTGTCCTCGAGAAACGATAACTAGCCTGAAAGCACTCGGGCACGCCCATTCGTTCTCCGTGATCATTTTCCTGAAAATACGACCCCCCCCCCTTCAAATAAGGGTCTTGAACGACCCCCCCCCCCCTGTACATTGCAAACGTTCTGTTTCGCATCGTTTTCCTTTGCTTCTTTGGCCGCGCTGCCAACAACAAACCCTCGCAAAACATTAATAGGCCGTGAGTGGATACGGCTTAGCCCAAAAAAGCGTTGCCTAAGCGGTTGTAATTTGCATTCCAATCTTCCCATGCGCTACCTTGTAGCTCTTTGCTTTACACCGTCATCCGCCACGCAACGCGATAACTTACAAGGACCTCATTGGTCGCCGTTATTTTTCCAGTCCTCAAGCCAATTTCAAGCACAAACACTCAAACAGTACCCCTCTTTCTGAACCAGTATAACTTCGTTGAGAACCAACTCTCGGACGACGCCGGAAGTGGGAATGAGTAGAGTTAGGTCGCTTCTTTTGAACCTAGGACTTTAACGATTTCTGAACACATTCCCCTCCCAAAAAGTTATCCACCCTTGTGATCCTCTGTGATCCTCTTGTGATCATGGGGGCCCAACCCCGAGTCGCCACGCTTTGGACATCCATGGCAAGCTTCATACACGGCCTTTCGAAAAAACGAACTGATGCAGCCACACCTCCGAAGCCCCATTTTCCACTTTCCACATAAGCACAACTTTCATTTCTACCTAATTATGCGCTAGCTATTTCAAAAAAATCTCCCACTAGGTGTCTCATCTGTTCGCTTCGTTATTTCCGTGGTCTACGGGATTTTGACAGCGCGCCGCCCACAAACGTATTCTTTCTCATTGTGGGGTCCGGCTGTGATTGCCCGAGATGACATGTTGCGCGATCGACTCTATCTGAGCAAGCCAGGATGAACTGCCGTCTTTCTCTACCCTAAGCAACACCACCTGCAGTTACCAGTCCAATCCGCCGTTCACCCAACCCCCCAACACCTAGATATTTTCAGCCGTTCCAACATACAACGGCCTACTTCGATCCTTTGTCCTTGACTATCCACGCACCAATACATTTCAGCGCCGACACATTTTAAAGCCGTGGTAACTCTCCACACAACCAACACAAGTTATTTCGTAGAACCCCTTCGGTTCGGCAGGACGGCAGTATTGAGACATTGCCTCAACCTGAAGTGGTATTGAATTAGTGGCTTTGCTTCCACATGGGTCGATCACCAGCCCCGGATCTGAACTGGCATACTGATGTTTCTTTGTATCTCTGTAGCACCTAGGATTTGCCATCCGTACGGCCAGTGGTAATGAAAAGGGAGCTATATGTTAATCAGGCCTAGATGGGACAGTGCCTTGCCGCTATGATTCAGCACCAAGAAGGGACCCTCCCGGTTGTAGGTGAACGATATAGTGATATACACTGTGCATGAGTACTCTTACCAACTAACGCTATAAGCAATGCTTAGCCCTTCTGCGATCAGCGCGATGTCATAATCAGCAAAGTGAAAAAAAATGGGACTCAGACTGCCGTAAAGTAGTCGTGGAAAATATTAGGTTGTCCGGAAAGTTCTCAGCGTTTTGGAGTGTTTCACTTTAAACGATCATAACTTTTTTAATACTCATCGGATTTAATCGAAATAAGCACCATTCGAATCAGCACACTTTTGCCAATGTGACACAGTCGATAAATCCCATCAAAGAAAAAACTGGGTGGTCGAGAATCCACGAAATCCACGAAGGCTTTTTTGCCTGGTCCTGATTGATGAAGTATTTTCCAGCAAGGAAGTTCTGAAAATGTTTGAAAAGGATAGTCGGTTGGTGAAAGGTCTGGAGAATATGGCGGGTGAGGTAGAACTTCAACCCCCAATTCGTTCAATTTATGGATAGTGATTTGTGAAACGTGTGGGCGGGCGTTGTCATGCAAAAGAATCGGACCCTTTCTGTTGACAAGTGCTGGCTGCAGCTGATTCGGTACATTTCGTCGATTTCTTCACAGTAGGACTCTGCTGTGATGGTTTGGCCTGGTGACAAAAAGTTATAGTGGATCACACCAGCGCCTCGTCTTTGCATCTCTTCTACAGCGGATGACCACCACACTGTGACCATAATCTTTTTTTCGTGAGGATTCGGCTTTGGAAATTGCCTCGGTGGTTCGTCGGCATCCAACCACTGTCCGGAACGTCTCCTGTTATCATACATGATCCACTTTTCATCACAGGTGACAATTC